GTTTCAGGAGGTGATGAATTACTCGCTGTCGGCGGCGGCTGGGGCCGGGTTCGACGAGGGGACGACGGTGTCGTTCGATGATGCATTTGGTGGAGGAAAGGGGTCTCCGCGGCGGCAGGGATGGCGGAGGAGGTGGAGGATGGAATAATGGAGGGATGGCAGCGGAGTGATCTGGTCACTTTTCGCGGACGGCTGGATATGGAAAAATATGTTAGAATTTTATTTTCTCTTTCTATTAACTATTATTTTTCCCCTTAATACCTAGTTTACCCTTACTAACTACCTAACTAATAACCTACCATAAACAAACTAAAATTATTTTAGCCAATAGGAAAGCTTTAAGCATATGCTTAAGTTTTTAGGCTTAAGCACCGGATCTGACCCGAAGAAAATGGGAGTTCAGGATGATAATCTGGTAAGACCTTTCAGCACTCTACACTGCCCAACCTTCTTTTCCTATCTCCACCACTTCCTTCCAACTCCCTCTCATGCGTACGTGAAGTTTCCCCTTCTCATTCTGCACCAGAAGAAGTTTCAGCACCCTCCAATTCCATGGCGAAAACCCTAATTTCGTCTCCGGCCTTCCTCGGAACGCCACTTCCCGCCCGCTCTCGCCATGGACTCCTCCACTCGGTTCCCAGCCGTCGATTTATCTCTACGACAGTCAAGATGAGCCTGCATGATATTCCTCCTGTTCATCTCCCTCCCTCTCATATTGATATCAGTTCCATTCTCACCAGAGCCGAGAGCGTCCTGTATACGCTTGCCGATGCCGCGGTGGCAGTCGACTCTGGCTCTGCTTCGAGCTCAACTGATGCTGCTGCCGTTCAGAAGAACGGCGGTTGGTTCGGGTTTATCTCCGACGCTATGGAATTCGTGCTCAAGGTTAGTTACGAGTAGTGAGCTATAAGATAGTTGATTTCCCTGTTTATTGTTTTGTGATTTCCAATTAGAGAAAGAGGTTAGAGTTATCAATTGAAAGGAGCCTTTTTAATATTTCTCAGATACTCAAGGGCGGGCTTGAGGCCGTGCATGTACCTTATGCATACGGCTTTGCCATTATATTGTTGACTGTTGTTGTGAAATTGGCGACACTGCCTTTGACAAAGCAGCAGGTAAGTTTTGCAGTTGTCATTGTTTCTCTTCCGAGTCAACTGAATCACTCTCAGTTAATAGCCACAGGTCATTTGTGTGCTATAGGTGGAATCAACCCTCGCAATGCAAAACCTTCAACCTAAGATAAAAGCAATCCAACAAAGATACGCCGGCAATCAGGTGAGGAGCATTTGTCTGCTGAATCCTATCTCGTTCACAGAGCATGGCTTGCAAATGTAAATTGGTCTACTGTAGAGCTCACATGGTGTTCCATGGTGTAGGAAAGAATACAACTTGAGACATCACGTTTATACCGGCAAGCTGGGGTTAATCCATTAGCAGGTACTGACAGCCAGTTAACTTTTCTGTTACTGGACTACTTTGCCCGAGTTTCTGGACTAGTCGATGAGAATAATGAACTAGAATATGCATCTCATTGAAATTGATAAGGAGACTTTCTTATTGAACTTATCTCAACCTTATCCATATCCTCGCGCCCTTATACGCAGGCTTTGGTTCTTCATTACAGTTTCAGAATCTCAACTTTCTGCTTCCTTACCTTTTCAACTAATTCGTCCTACTGTTATAGCACATCATGTGCATAAAGGGATGATTTGTAGGTCTCTGTCTATGTTACTAACTGGAGTTGCGGAGGTGTTCACTTCTAAACTTCTGAATTTTATGATGATTCTGGTATGCTCTGATTGTTCTGATGACTGAAATATCCTTTTCAGGTTGTCTTCCGACTTTGGCTACAATTCCGGTGTGGATAGGTCTGTATCAAGCTCTTTCAAATGTTGCAAATGAGGTACAAAAGGATACGATAATTTCCCATGTTGAACATATTGAAAAACTGTATCTATCCAGGATCCTAGATAAATTAATTCTTAATGAGTTCCCACTTTCAATGAAGGGATTGTTGACAGAAGGGTTCCTATGGATTCCTTCATTGGGTGGGCCAACTACAATTGCAGCTAGACAAAGTGGATCTGGAATTTCTTGGCTCTTCCCATTCGTGGTAACCTAAACCTTGTGTTCGAACTTGATGGATATTCATGTGCGAGATTTTGGAATGTACTGCAGACTTCAATGTCAACTTTAACCATTTAGATTTTTCAGACCATTTTATTGTCTAAACTCTTGATAATTATCTGATGATGTTCATCGCATGATTAATTCAAAGGATCCTTGTGTAAAAATCTATCATTATATGTCCATGAGTATGCCATATTATTGATGATAATATGCAGATTATGAGGTTAGCAGGGTCTACTGGGTCGTGGAAAAATGCTTGAAATAATATTCACATAATGCAGTTAGCAGGTCCCTCATGGTCAGTCATGCGTCTGCCAGTCATATCGAAGTGATCAAAATTATATGCCACTTTTGCAGGATGGCCATCCACCATTGGGCTGGCATGATACTGCAGCATACTTGGTTTTGCCTGTATTGCTTATTGTATCGCAGTATGTGTCAATGGAGATCATGAAGCCTCCCCAGGTAGTAGATCTCTATTTTAGCCACACCTTTATTTGGCATAATTAGAATGCCTGTAATTTTGTGTCATTGATTTTGACAGACAGATGATCCTGCCCAAAAGAATACGCTTCTGGTCTTCAAATTCCTTCCTCTGATGATTGGATACTTTTCCTTGTCTGTGCCATCAGGCTTAACAATCTACTGGTTCGTTTCTTATCAACAATATCACTGTTTTATATGCAATATCTGCAATTTATGTGACCATTTTTGTCCTTTATCTGTCTCACTTACCTACGGCATTCACCAGTCCTGGTTTGAGCAGTTAGAAGTTCCAGCTTCAACTCTGACGGTTGGCAACAGAGGATATTTTGCCTGGCTATTTTACTCTTCTATTTTAGATTAGAAACTATTAGCCATTTACAAATTGTTGTGCTGTGGGAATTTTGGGCATAGAGCTGGTATTCTAGGTATCTTGCTATCCAGCTTTTCGCAGGAATATTCATATAATACCAATTACCAAAAAAGATGCCCACCTATTAAGTATGTCTCTGGCTATCGGTTTCAGAGCAGCTTAAGTTTCTTGGTAGCAAGTTTGAATATCTTTGTATGGAAGTCTAATCGATACAACAAAGAGCTTTGAGAACTACTCTCTAAGTTTAGACTGACATAGTTATGTTTTTATTTTTTTTTATTGAAATGGAATTCACATTTCAAAGTGTTGTTTTAAGAAAACCCTGTAGGTTTCTTACACTCACCAGCAATAATAGCCATGTCAGATGATGCTTTTTGACATCACCTTCTTTTAAATGCTATGTACTCTGTTAGTTTGTTCTCAGTACCTTGGTGTTTCTTGCATTCTTCTCTGAGTTGATGAATTTCTAAAGGTGTCCTCCATTCTGGTAGGTTTACGAACAATGTTCTAAGCACAGCCCAACAGGTATGGTTGCGCAAATTGGGTGGTGCCAAGCCAGCGGTCAATGAGGATGCCAGTGGAATCATCACTGCAGGACGTGCAAAACGATCGGTTGCACAGCCAGCAGGGCCGGGTGAAAGGTCCGTTCTCTGCTTCTATGTATTTGCTCTATGGGTCCTCTTCAGGATTTAATAAGCAAAAGCCTTGGATTGACAGGTTCAAGCAGCTGAGGAATGAGGAGAAGAAAAAGTTGGGCAAGGCTCTAGCAACAGATGATAGCCAGATTCTGGATTCTGCATCTGGTCGGGAGGAAGACTCAGATGGTGCAACTGAGGACAAGGTAAATTTTAAACTTCAGCTTATGTTGCCCCTATGCACTCTGTTATGATACTTCATTTTTACCTGAATCCTTGGAAATATAGGATTTGAAAACTATTGGCCTCTGGTAAAGGTTAGAAAATAAGGTGCTGTACTCTGCAGCAGAATGCTGTGGTTTCCCAGATTTAGTAACTGAGTGACGCTTGAATCATGAGAAACTGAGTCGCCTAGCCCTAACATGGATGTCCATGGCTGATGGTGCTTATGTGTTACTTTATCAAGCAAGTGCATTATATGATGGATGTACATAAAGTCCGAGAGTTCAAAGACAATTTGTTAGGAGAAACCAAGACATTTTAAGAGATGGTTCCTGCAAATGGAGAAGACTCACCAACTAGATTTGTATAGCTAATATGCCATACCTTTATTATAGGAGACTTGGTATCCCCTGGAATACTTGCATGATCAGTGTGGTTTGGCGAGAATCTAATATAGTGGGGATTAATACATAAAAGGTGAATAAAGAAAATGTGACTTAATTGACACCCGGGTTCTGGGTAATGTTTTTCAGTCAGAACAGCAAAAGTATGCTTCAGAGATCTTCTCATGATTTTGTCTTGGATTACTATTCAGCTGTTCTATTTTTATGAACCAACCTATTGCATATTTTTATACCAGGACTAATATGAACTCTTTGGCAGGGCGAGGAGGTGCTAGAAGAAGCATATGCTTCTAGTGCAGGTAAACAGGTGCCTGATGTTTCACGGCTAAAGAGAAGCAAACGGTCAAAAAGAAAACGCACTGTTTAAGAAAGTCTTGGTGAGACCAAGATGATTGTAATGTTTGGTGAGCTCTCTATATCTCAACACAGTTAATTATCTATTATATAGTGTCATTTCTATGCTGCCTTATTTTCAGTACAAAGGTGAATGTTTGAATAGGCAGAAGTTGTCGGGTCTGTCTTTCATATGATGTACTGCTGCTATGTTTTTCATATGATGTACTGCTGCTATGTTATTGCATATAGTTGCTATCTTCCGATATTGATTTTTGAAGCAGTCGAAGAAGGAATCAGCCAGTTTGCAGCAAAGCTGCTGCTTGCTTTAATTGCATCATGTTGTTTACTGAGCTGTTCAAGTGATATTTTAAAATAAGAAGCCTGGTTGTTGCAGTTAAACACAGTGGTTCCTTTTAGCAAGGGCCTTGTACTTTCTTTCTCTATTTATCTTAGCCTTCCATTAGGACTTGGTGCTTATTCACTCAATTCTACATTCTCTGCACAATAATGCCTCCCGGTCCCTGAAACTACATGATTAGTCCGCTAACTGATTCATCTATTTGATAGTAAGTCTAGGAAAACAAGCTCATTTAGGAATTCCACTTGCTTCTCTAGTATGTTTCCACCAACAAGCTGGAGCTCAAAAATTACTTTCCTTGAGGAAGGACGTAGAAAGCCCTATTATGCTTCGACCCTAATGAAATCTATTTATCTTATACCAATCAAAAAAAGAAAATTATGCTGCATCATCTAGACAGGCCTGCATTTTACACAATTGCTCTGACATTGATGTTTCCAAATAAATTCCACTAATTTACAGGCACGAAACCTAGAGATCAACACTTGCTGTCTAATTAATGCATCATCTTACCTTCTACCTTACAAGAATAGTTACTATGTATACTTGCTAGGGAAGTGCATCCATTGATCTACTGCTTTGTGGGCGGACTGTGATTGCCAACTGGGTTAGGCCCGGATGGAGCTTTCCAAACCCTCTTGTCTCCAACCTGGTTTATGCCATAAAAATATGTTAGTAAAACTTGTCTGAACATTCATGGGTGAGAGGTGACTGGATGGCTTACCCAACGTGGTGCGGCTTCCCTTTGTGAACTGGAGCTGAATTGTGCAGCCTTGATTCTAAAGCGATCTGTGATAGAAGATGCAGCATATGAGTAATGTTTAGTACACGTGAGAAACTTTGAAGTATCTGTTTAAGTTCCACATACATATCTGATTGAGTAAGAAGCTGCTTTTGTAGTTGAGTTTTGTAATGTATTGTAATGTAGAAGACGAGGTGATTTCAGATGAAGCATTTTGCTAGATTTGGCTAGAAAAGGGCCAGAAAGGATGAAGGGGCTTGCCTGAACCAGTAGCTTGAGCCCTCGTAATGGTGAATAGCCCGTGTTGTATAGCAAAGAGCAGAGGGCATGCTAAGAGCAGGAATTTGAGAATCTTGCTACTCATGTTGAGCCTGTGAGATTGTGTAGGTTTTGCAATTGAAATGAGAACCTATATATTTGAAGCTAGCTTGCAGAAGAATGCAATATGTTGTAGGCACCGTTTTTATCTAATTTTTTTTTTTATGGTAATCATAGCAGAACTTGAATATAATGCAGTGAATGTTTGTTAAAAGTGCTTGGGAATCCTATGCTGAAGGCCTGAGATTCAAATCTGGATTTGTCTTTGTGGGTTGACCTCTACTCGAGTCATAATTACAAGGGCTATCATTCCTTCCATGATTTTAGTTGGGAAAGTACTTGCCCTATTGTTTGATTTTGAATGCTTGAGCCTCTTGGCATGATTGATAAAGGGACCTGCTAATGCATATTTGGCCATCAGACTGCAGTGTTGTTATTCTTTTGTGTGCTTGTCGGTCTATTCCACACAAGTTTTTCTTAGACATTATCAGGAGCCCACCAGGTAAATTCCCAGCAAAGATGAAGAAGTGAATAGAGAGATTCGTTGGTCTAATCCAAAGATTGAAATACCTTATAGGCGGTTCAATCAGAAAAAATCTTCTAACGGAGGCTAAACCAATACGCAGTATAAAATGGTTGAACTATGGTTAAATCATGGTTTTAGCATAAAATATCTTACCGTTAACTTTTCCGGTACAATCTTCGATACGTTATTTCAATTTTGGTCTAATCTAACCCACTACCCCATTTCAGATCTGCAATGCTTATACAGCTTAACAAGAGAACATACCTCTTGTAAAGAGGCCGCCACCTCTTGAATAGTGTATGAAGCTGCAACTCTGAACTTTCTTCTCTCACACTCAAACTTCGGTTTTAACTAACCCCTCTAGGAAAAACCGTTCATTGCCCACAAGTGAGTGATAGATATATAAGAAGAATTAGAGATTGAGAATTGGGAATTTGGGAAATTGAAAGAGGAAATTAGGGATTGGGTTCAATAATTTGATTTATTCATAATCCTCCCAAAATGTGTTTCACCTCCTTAAATAGTAGCTCTGAAAATAACTAATAATAATAACCAAAACCACCCTGCCCAAATTCTTATAATAACCAAAACCACCCTAACCAAATCCTTATATAGATTAAAACAAACTAGTCGATAATGATTTGCAAAGCTAACCACTACTTTAGAAAGTTTGTTTGGGATATCACAAATCACATAGTGACTACTCACTATTTACTAAACATACAGGAAACACCTTTATTGCTCTCTTAGTTTATGTTGACAATGTCATTCTAATAGGAAATTGCCTTCTTGAAATCAGAATGGTTAAGTAACATCTTGATAATACTTTCACTATAAAACACCTTGGCTAATTGAAATACTTTATTGGCATAGAAATGTCTAGATTAGAAAATAGTATTTATTCATGGAAGAAAATATGCACCATATCTTTTATCTGAATTAGGGATTTTAGCTTTAAAACCTACCATTGCACGCTCCATTCCAGCCACGCACTAGTCTAGCAAAGGTGATTATTCATTGGTGCAAAATTACACAAAAAATACAAAACATTTGATAGACAGTGATAGAACCCGGTGAATCGAGTTCTATCTAGGGATTGGAATACGAGGGATCAATGGAATTTTGATCCGTAGGGTTTGTGGAAATGGAAGAAGTAGTAGTAGTAGGGAATTGGAAGGATGGAAGGAAGAAGCAAAAGGCTGCTCGGCAGCAAGGGGAGGTTGGAAGAGGGGTCGGTAGAGGTAGTAGAGAGAGTGGGAGAGAGAGATTAGGAGAATGCTTTTAGGTTTAATCTTGCTTACTCTTCTCTACGTAGCACATAGTATAAATACTGAAAGCACAATTTTCTATAACTACCCCAACTTATTAATCCCCGCATTATCCCAAAATAACCAATCAAAGCCCACACAATAAAACCCAATAAATCAGTCCAAAAGTGCAAAACCAAAATAGCAAGTTTCTATCATTCCCGCTTCTTTCGAAACAACCTTGTCCACAAGGTTGTCAGTCCACCACCTCATCGCCCTTTCCGCTCGCCTCAGCCTCGTCCTCCCACCTTCCGACCAACATCATCAAGTCTGGTCATGCACACTTGTGTCCCACCATGAACCGCTCATCACAATTGAAACACTTTCCCTCCCACCTCTTTTGCTCGATCTATGCAGGAGAAAGTCGAAAAAATCCCTTGGGCGGTTGTCTCGACTCGCCTTTAGCCACCAGAGTCACGCCAGCAGTGGTGGCAGCTATGACACTGACGCCCGCCCCGACCGTCGATCCTCCTCCTCCTTCGCCAGTTCCGCTGCCACTTCCACCCCCGCTCGGCCGCTGGTAGCGGCCCATGGTGCTCCTCCAGCTCGCGAGCTCCTCCTCTTTATGACCTGCAAGATGAAAGGCAGACTTCAAGGAGTCCGACTCGAAGACCCGGACTGCCGCAACAATCTCGGGCTTCAATCCCGCCATACACAGCCCCACTAGCGTGTCCTCGGGCACTCTACGTTGGTTGCCCAGCTTGAGAAACTATGACCGGTAATCTGCAACAGTCCTTGTTTGCTTCAACTTGCCCAACTGCTCAGGAGCCCATCCCTTCAATTTACCAAACTGGTAACGGAGTTCCTCCTGGAACATTGGCCATGTGATCAAGGTCTCCGCCGCAGCATATGACCTCTCAATCCACTCCCACCACTATATCGCCTCTCCTTCTAAGTAAAAGGAGTTCAGGTGCGCCTTTCGCTCTTCCTGTATCGGGTGGTTTTTGAACCACCGCTCAGCTGCGTACAACCATAGTCTTGCATCCTTCTGACCATTGAATTTTGGAAATTCAATGGTTGAGGGTTTGGCCCGGAAAACTAATCCGTCAGTCCCATCATGAGACTGGTGATACGATTCGTACCTGTCGAAACCCACCGTTCCTCCCGGGTGGCCACGATCAAATCGTGTCTCCCTCTCCTGGTTATCTGGCCCATAGTCGCCCTGGTAACTGCCTGGGTAGCGCCCATAGCTGCCTTCCATGCCCGGAAGTCCACGCCTATCGTCCTCCCATTGTTTAGTATAGTGTGCTGGTGTCCGTGAGCTACAGAAAGGATGGCCGGAGGCGCAAGTAGCGTCGTAGGGGCCCTTCCAGGCCGTCGTTCACCTGTTGTCCGCCCCTATTTGATACTAGTTAGGGCGGTTCGGCTTGATCTGGGTCTAACCAGACTCGGCCCGACCAGTCCCGATTCGCTTAGTCCCGGTCTAACCAGAATGGGGCCGACCCTCAGGGTTCGACCCAACCCATAAACCCTGGTTCGGTCCTTTAGACAGTCCCTAACAGCTCTGCTTGTGACCCGAGTCGGTCTACTGTGGCGGCCGGTCCATCAGGCTGAGCTCTTCATCGTCCTGGTCATGGTCAAGGCCCAACCATCCTAGCCCATTGGGCTCCCTACGGTTCCGCACCGTTCTTCCGTGGCCCGTCGGGTTCAGCAACCCATAGTCGGCCTGATGGGCCCCCGTGTCATAGCCGGCAGCTTGCCTTTGCCCTTGCGGGCCGCAACCTCTTGGGCCATAGGCGTGGGCAAGAGCCCAGACACGCCCTTCCGAACCGTGACCCGCACGCTCCGGCCCGGTGGAGTCTGCCGCCGCCTCTCTTTCGTCAACGGAGTTCGTCGCCTTCTCCCCCGCCACCGTCGACCTCCTCGGTCCCCCGACCCTGCGGTCTCCCATGCAGGGCCACCAAGGCCTCCTTGATATCGTCAAAAGTCCTCTATACCTTCTGGGACATCTCCAGCCGAGCCCGACGCTCGTCCGCCAGCGTAGCCACCACCCTCCGCAGGGTGACCCGGACCTCGTCGTCCTCCGTCTCGTCGACCACCGCACCATCCACCCGTGGCTCCGACGCTGGCGGCGGCGACCGGTTCTGCGCGCCCTTGAGAGGGGCATTGACCGTCTCGGTCGTCTCCCCGCCAGACCCGGGCCGTGCCGTGGCCGAATCTGCAGCTTGCTTGGCCTGGACAACCTTCTTGGAGGCCGTCATGGACTTGGTGAGCAACATATCGATGTGTATCAGTGTGATGAATCATGGAGGTTCTGATAACAAATGATAGAACCTGGTGAGTCGAGTTCTATCTAAGGATTGGAATACGAGAGATCAATGAGATATTGATCCGTAGGGTTTGTGGAAACGGAAGTAGTAGTAGTAGTAGTAGTAGTAGTAGTAGTAGTAGTAGTAGTAGTAGTAGTAGTAGTAGTAGTAGTAGTGAATTGGGAAGATGGAAGGAAGAAGCAGAAGGTTGCTCGACAGCAAGGGGAGGTTGGAAGAGGGGTCGACAGAGGCAGTAGAGAGAGAGTGATAGAAACCCAATTTTCGGGTTTATTCATAATTATCATAATTACTATAATTAGGATATTATTAGATATGGTAGTAGTCATTGAGTCATATTAGGATAGTCTATTAGGTTTTTCCAGTCTTTCTTTATAAATATGTACTTTGCGTTTTATTCAGGCAGTCAAGAAGAATATTAAGAAAAGCCTTCCTAAACCCTATTCTCCCAATCCTCTCAATTCTCGTTCCCAATCTTTCTAAAGGCCTAGGCCGATTCTCTATCTTTCTCTTCTCAAATCCCTAATTCTATTCTTAATCCCTAAATCCCCAATTCCCGATAGAACCCTAATCCCAGGTTCTATCAATTGGTATCAGAGCCATGGTCACAGATTTGAGTTTATCACAACTCTCACCAGGGAATTGTTATAAGAAATTCTACCACACGTTTGAAGCTCTCCAAGTCAGTCTAGTAAAATGTGAAGCTAGCCTAATAAAAGATGAAGTTCGCAGGGAAGCTCACGACAACTATATGATAGCTTGCCTGGAAGAACTTCGAGCCAAGCTAGAGCGCCGCGCGGCCCGTCGCCGCGCGACCAACATCCATTCAGAATCGAGGTCGGTAGATTCGTCAGAGGTGACTGCAAATGACGGCTCGGCAGTCACAGAGGAGGCTGCGGACGACGGGACGGCAGTGGTAAATGGAGCTAGCGTTAACGACGCCGCTGCCACACCAAACATCATCACCGCCAAGCAGCAAATCACCAACGGTAAGGCCTTGTCTTCGGCTAAAATGATGTCGCAATCATCACCAACAGTGGCTGCAGTTTGGAGCACAGCGTCACCAACGCCGACACCTACTTTCGTGGCAGCTTCAAAGACCTCACAGGTGAAGTCCCAAGAACCCGAAGCTTCAATCGAAGATCCACTGGTGAAGATTGGAAGGTTTAATTGGAGGTACAGAAAGAAGAAGAGACCTGGAGATGGCTCCAATTTTGAGATGCAGAAGGATCTGAAGACGATGGAGATGTTGGGTTGGTCTTCGGTTTGTCGGACATGCGGTTTCCTGCCACAGAAGGACGATTCCGAGGAGAAGTTGAAGAAGTCGTCATTAGGGGTGGAAGAGAAGGTGAAGGACTGGAATAAGAAGAGACTCGCCGCCATGGTGATGAACTGAGGGACAGATCCCGGAGCCGGAATCGGCAACGGACGCGACGCGGAGGTGCCGGAGCTGAGAATCGCGTACGGGAAGCAGCGATTGGCGGCGATCTCCGTCGCGTCGTTGAGGGAAAGGAAGGAGAACTGAAGGGCGAATTCGGGGAAGGATTCGCCGCCGAAGATGAAACGAGGAGCAGATGGGGCCTTCGTCCTGAGGAGCAGTTTGTCGAACGAGGGAAAGATGAAGTCGAAGACAGAGCCTGTGGAGGACTCGCCGTTGGAGTTGAAGGCGATGGCGGAGCGGGGCTCACCTCGTCGCCGTCGGATGAGCTGTGGCCCGCCGAAAATGGAGAAGGAAGACGGAGGCGGTGCGTCTCGGCCTGCACCGTTGGAGAAGAGGGAATCGTCGGCGAAAGCAGAGGCGGCCGACGAGGAAGTGACAAAGAAGAAGACAAAGGAAGGGTTCGGCAGCGGCGTCCCTCCTTCCGCATGCCCTAGGCCACCGGGTTTGGGCTGGGCGACGCTGTAGAGCACTGAGGTGGGCCGGGTCAGCAGTTCCACACCACCGGATGGACCGGAGGTTGGCCTGCTTTGTGGGTTGAACCGGGCCGTCTGAGGAAGGAGGAAGAAGTGGCTTGCGTGGGCTGGGAGCACAAGGTGAATGTGGTAGGACTCGTTTGGGGCTGGTCGAATCAAGCAAGTGGGCCGAAGTTTGAGCATATTGGACCGCATTTGCAAAGAGTTGTTGAGCCCAATATCGATTGTGTTTTGATTAAGATGGGCTTAGAGGGAAATGAAGAGGGGTTAGGAAGAGTAGCTGGTGGGCTTCCAAGAGGACAGAGCCCAAAATTAATTGAAGATGCAACCAATCAGAATTATGGGCTCGCTCCAAAGAAGATATTTGAGGGCCTTGAGGAGATGGTACTCTAGGATAAGTTCTTGTACAAGCAAGAACCCCTCGAGTCCTTAAGTTGTGGGAGTGGATTGACAATAAGAGAGGAGCTATTGAAGTTTGAAGCTGTCAAGGAAGCGAATAGGGGGCCCATGGAAGTGAAATTTCATGAGTTGGATCAACACAAGCAGATTGGCGCAAGAGGCTCGAGTGTAGAATTGGAGCATGATTGGAAGAAACGGAAACGCAAGAAATGTGTTAGTCAGCTTGCAAATTGCACTGGAAGGAAGAAAATTTGGGTTAAGACGATCAACCTTGAGGACAAGGTTGGTTTGAAGGGGGAGGGGATGATAGAAACCCAATTTCCGGGTTTATTCATTATTATCATAATTACTATAATTATGATATTATTAGATATGGTAGTAGTCATTGAGTCATATTAGGATAGTCTATTAGGTTTTTCCAGTCTTTCGTTATAAATATGTACTTTGCGTTTTATTCAGGCAGTCAAGAAGAATATTAAGAAAAGCCTTCCTAAACCCTATTCTCCCAATCCTCTCAATTCTCGTTCCCAATCTCTCTAAAGGCCTAGGCCGATTCTCTATCTTTCTCTTCTCAAATCCCTAATTCTATTCTTAATATCTAAATCCCCAATTCCCGATAGAACCCTAATCCCAGGTTCTATCAGAGAGAGAGGGGGAGAGAGATTAGGCGAATGCTTTTAGGTTTAATCTTGCTTACCCTTTTCTATATAGCACATAGTTTAAATATTAAAAACACAATTTCCTATGACTACTCCAACTTATTAATCCTCATATTATCCGAAAATAACCAATCATAGCCCACACAATAAAATCCAATAAATCAGTCCAAAAGTGCAAAACCAGAATAACAAGTTTCTATAAAACAGACCCCAATATGTATCTCCGCAATAAAAGACCTGATATATGATACTTGCCAACAAAGTTCAAGGTTCAACACATATTCACTAGAACTGACATATCCTTTTCCAGAGATTTGCCCTTCCATACCTTTATTCGATTTGGTTTCCAAGCTTAACATGAAATCTATACATATTTAGCATGCGATAGGGTATTAGAGTGTATGACTTATTAGTTGATAGAATGTAAAACAATAGGCAGGCACTCTATGGTAATTAGTTACGAGTTTGGTAAATACAATAAGGACTATAAAGGCCGTGTACAAAACTTCAGTTCCTCGAAAGACTTCACGAATTCCTCTTCAATCTCTCATCACCAATTCCTCTAGCAAAGATTGCATCCCAGAGACCGTAGGTGACATTCTAAACGCAGGCTCCTGCATGCCACGGGATGGGATTAGGTGCTAATCCTTATAGGGGTTAGCACCGTGATAACTAGTAAAAATCACTACGGATTATTATAAAATCAATACAACATCTAAGCTAAATCACTACTAATTCAAACTAGTAGTAGTTTTTCCCTTGATTAGGACGGTGCTAACTATTGTACAATTAGAACCGTAACCCCTCCCGCATGCCACCTACTCTGCATAATAGTAGGTGCGGTGGATATGGACAACAATCTTTGAAAGGGGGAAAATGGCAATGGGCAAGTCCGGCGCGTTTTTTTTACCCAGACCTGCCTGTGGCAGGTCGGGTTCAGGTAGGGTAATTTATCACGGGTTGCAGGTCGGGACAGGTCAACCCAATGGGTATGCAATTTATATGAAAAACATTAGAACTATTCCTTATTTTTATTATAAGACCAAGAAAACAAACAATATTATGATAAATATAGTTAAATTATTAGAGAAATTGAGGTTTTCACTAATTTACAAATTTATTATTGCTAAATTATGATGTAATAAAAGAAAAATTATTAGTAATTTAACTAAGATTACATATATTTTAGGCAAGAACGGGTCGAGAATGGGGCGGGGCAGGGCAGGTCGGGTCGATGAGAGGGGAATGGATCAGGTCAGTAACCTTATGGTGAGTAACCATGAGTAACCCGTCCACATCAGCATGACATCAGCATCTTCTCTCTCCTGGAAGGTCTTTAATTTTCCCCTCTTTAATCTTTGACGGACGATTTCTCACTCATTTTAAGTCGAAATTTAAATTTTTTGCACAGTTAGATCAGATTAATTGTGCTCTTCAAAATGATATACACTTTATTATATTTTTCGAACAAAAAAAATTGAGCCATTTTTTACCAGTCTATACCATATGGTATTGACTGGTATTGAAATAAAAACATACCTATGGTTTGAAAAACGTACCATGGTGGTATGAACAAACTAAGACTGTAGGATGGTTGAATACATGATAGTAGAAGTATATTAATTGTCATTTATGACTTTTAACATTGTATACCACACAATACCACCCCGTACCAGGGTGGTATTGTATGGCATTGTGTGGTATTTTTTGGTCATGTAATTTGTTCACCCAGAAATTTGTAGATCCAATAGATCATGATGAACTCGTCCCTTCTGTGCAAACGTTTTAAAAAACGTATTAAAAACGAAGAAGATACCATACAATACCACCCCGTACCAGGGTGGTATTGTATGGTATTGTGTGGTATTTTTTGGTCATGTAATTTGTTCACCCAGAAATTTGTAGATCCAATAGATCATGATGAACTCGTCCCTTCTCTGCAAACTTTTTCAAAAACGAATTAAAAACGAAGAAGATACCATATGGTATGCAGTTGGTACCGAGAGGCCAGAATTTTTTTTTTCTCAAAAAATATTGAAAATTGATCTCATTTTGTAGAGCACGATGAACTCGTTCCATCTGTGCAAAAAAAATTAAAATCCGAGTTAAAACGAAAAAGATATGAGTTAATTAAGAAAGCTAGAAAAAATAAAAATGATCTTTAATTCTCCTTTCTTAAGTCTGAATTTTCTAAATAAAGAGTCCAGATTTGGTTATTGATTATGCACTCTATCTTGAGCCCGATGAGAGTACCCATGTCCGGTCTTCCCACCTCAAAACAGGCCAAACAGGTCGGGTAAAACGGATTAGGTCGAAATTGTCATCCTAGAAAAAAAGGGCAATATGGAAGATTCTGCTACCATGACAACAACAAGACAGTAATAGATTGCTCATCAACTTCAATTAAACAAAAGTTCCCAAATAATCAAAGCTTTCTTTTTGGAATTGCATACTTCCCTTCCCATGGCTATCCAGCAACTGGAAGTTAACCATCATGGAATCGTTTTCATGGATAGTATAGTCTAGTCTTAACAGAAGAAATGACCCAAAGGCCAAGTATATAAAACTGTCTAACCGCACGAATTAAAAAGAATGTTCATTTGCCTCGATTGCATGTCTTGTATATACTCTGTTTGTTTGATCCTTGTGCACTACTCGTTCTCTTTCAAGTCTGTAGTTTTAACCAAATGTCATGACTTAATTCAACAAAAGGTTCCGGGGAAAGAAAAAAAAAACTTAGTCTTGGTGATCATCCTTTCATGAAAGCTCTTTCTCCTCTCCGGCTTACAAGCTGAAACAAAAAGGAAATAACAAATTGTCAAAACTGACAATGACTCGCCAAGCAATAGTTGGATAGTAGCTAGCGACATGCAGATATTGATAAGCAGAATAATTAATTAGGGACAAACCAAAAGGACAAAACAGCAACCAGCTTTATGCCTATCCGGCTGCGTGCCTTATTATATGCGAAGCAATAAGCATCTCCATTTGTCTTATGCTTGGTGAGAGTAGAATAGGTAATATATGCTCTTTGTGGCGCCACATCCCAAGTTGCCAGCACCCATAGCGTATGTCCAACGGATTTTTATTAATTATACCGTGTAGCATATTATATTCTAATTTTTAATGAATCTAGATTTTAATCTCCTCCAATAATATATGGTAGAGTTTTGTGAATTTTTCTCCATTTCAAATTTCCTGCAACGAGAGTGAAAGTAGGAAGGATATTTTTGTCTTTACAATTAAATATTTATCTCAATAAAAATATCAATATGAGGATTCGAACCCGGGTCTCTTAAAACAAAGACAACAATCACAACCAATTACACTAAACAAATTTGTTGTATCTTTTTTTAGTACAAAGCATACACAAAGTTAGACTCAGAAAATTGGATGAATTTTCCATCATGATTACCAAGCCCACTAAGTCTACCGTATATATTTTTATGGTGCTTGATACTTCAGTTTTCATAGTAGCTAGAGTTTCATGTAATTTTCTCAATTTTAAATTTTTTGCCCTCACCTTAATTTTTTTGCTAAAGGTAGATTGATAATTGGCTACCATAGAAGAAACTAATTATGTTACTGCGTGTTGTATCCTTGAAATTTTCAATTTAAATTTAAATTTAGTGCTTTTTTATCTTTGTTCTTATCTCTTTTAACTTCCTCCGAAATTCCCTCTATCGTGCAATAGTTTACGCCCCTTTCACTTTTCAATACAAGGCCGACTTTGAAATCAATCTTTTGGTATCTCTTGGCACTACGATTTTATTATTCGGGATTTAAGCTAGGCAAGTAGAAGATTTCAACTCCGATATCAATCCATGGCAAAATGAATGGAGTTCAATAAATGGAGTTGTAGAAGGAGGATTAGAGATTGAATTTTTTATTGAAACATATGTCTCTTGAGATAAAAATTTGGTTCTACAGCAGAGAGTGGTGACTATTGGACCTTTAGGTTTATGGTTTTTGCAGCTAGGTCGATTCTTTATTCAACCTATTGGAACTGATAGATACGGAGTGTCTAATTTTGTGTCTTATTACTTCGATCGAGTTTATTAGCATATTGGAGGTAACCCTAATTTTGTCGTTTGCTCTCAATTTTTATTGGTCCCCTCTTAATTGAGTTGTTAGTATATAGTTGACTTGAATCAACAACTCTCCAGTTCTTTTTGATTAGTGGCATATTGTTCCTAAGGAGTGCATTGAACCCTTTATGTAGGATTGTGAGGTTTAAAATTGTGTTTCAAACTATCTATGGCGTGTGGGAATTCCAATGAGCTTTTGTACTCTATCTTTCTTGACAATCAACTAACCAATAGCATTTTAATTGGGGCTTAATTATCATTATAAAAATGAGATCAATCATTTTTATATTTTATATTCTTATTTATCCAAAAGTTCGACCTATATATTCTTTCTTTATATATCATCTAGATCGAAGAATTGTCAATAAAATTAAACGGGTTGATAGACTTAAATGTAACATAAAAATATAAATAATCAAATATGAACATTCCGGCCAACGGGCCAGGTTATAAGCTAGTTTCTAGGGAGGACAAAAAGAACCACAATTTGTATAATTCTCAATCTAATTTATTACGGATAAAATCAAGTTTGGGTAGTGCATACACAACCTTTTAGCTTGTGTTTAGATTAGACATTTTATATTGGGTATAAAAATAAAACAAAAAAAACAAAAAATAAATGATACCCAACTCTAATGTTGTTTTTTTGGTTTAATTGCATGGTTGGTCATTGAGTTTACAAAAAAAGTTAAAGTTTGGTCACTCGAAATATTTAAATCCATTGGCGGTACTTCACTTTACAAAAATTGTTCACGTTTGGTCACTCTCCATTAGCTGCCGTCCATTTCCGTTAAATGAGTCCGTTAAGTGATGACGTGGCAGACAGAATCATCTAATCAGCACTATTTAATCCGAAGATAGTCTGACCCGACCCGCCAGCTCATCTTAACCTACCCAACCCTCTAACCAACCCAAACCCGACCCACCAACCCAACTACCCACCAAGAATAAATCCCTAAATCAAAGAAAAATCAACACCTTCCCTTTCTACCTTCATCTTCATCTTCCTCTCCCCTTCCCCTTTCGAATCCCCACTCATCATCATCCCCGCAATCCCTAAATCAAAATTGATCCAACACCTGGAGTTTCTGGTTCACGCTTGGGGTTTCTGTTTTAATCATCATCCCTTGGCTGACGGTGAGACAGGCACCAGTCAAGATCTCGTCACCGTCGGGCCACGCCTCGTTGATCAAATTCGAAGGCGGGGTTAAACTGGGGATACTGGGGAGAATCATCCCTTCTCCGCTGTCGGAGTGGCACGCGTTCAAGATAATTTCCGACGGGAAAACAGAGCACATGATGCTGGCGGGAGCGGTGGGGGATTTTACGAAATCCTTGGTGGCGAATCCGCCAATCCATCTGTGGGTTCGGCAGGTGCATTTTGCTGGGCTCCTGTACTTGACTGATATGTATGAGAGAGTGCTGTTGGTGGCTACTGGTTCGGGGATTTGCGTGTTTTTTCCGTTCTTGCTACAGGACTGTAAGGCGGAGGTGTGCGTCTTGTGGGCGACGAAGGGGGTGGATCAAAATTTCGGGGTGGGTAGGTTTCCGCCGCTCCGAATCTCTCGCTCAATAAACAAACAAAAACAACGAAATGGATATGGATCAGGGAAGCTCCACTGTGACGTTACTGTGGCGGTCCTCCTGGCAGTGCCGATTTGATGCCATCGCCGTCCACTTACTCACAGATTGCTCATCAACCTCGAGCTTCCACCGCGGCCAGCTTACTCCCGACTCCGACCCACGACGGAGGGAGATTTAAATTATCAATATGATGACGACTCGAGGTGGATCGTCGTGGGCAGATCTGCCCGACGAGATCCTGGAAGCAATCGGCAGCCGCGTCGACCGCCCCGTCAACGTCCTTACCTTCCCCTCCGTTTTCTACTCCTAGCGTTCCGCCGTCCCCATCCCCTACTTCGGCCGGCTGATTCCGTTGCTCCAGGTCCGGCTCCCTTACCCCACCGACGTCGACGGCGTACTCGCCCCTTCCACCATGTGCTGCGCGGAGTTCAAGCCTCCGATTCCCAATGGCGATTTACTGATTTAGGGATTGCGGGGATGATGATGAGTGGGGATTCGGAAGGGGAAGGGGAGAGGAAGATGAAGGGAGAAGGGAAGGTGTTTGATTTTTCTCCGATTCAGGGATTTAATTTTGGTGGGTAGTTGGGTTGGTGGGTCGGGTCTGGGTTGGTTAGAGGGTAGGATAGGTCTAGATGACATGGCGGGTTTCAATGACGTGGTGGGTCGGGTCAGACTATTTTCGGGTTAAATAGTGTTGATTAGACGATTTCGTCTGCCACGTCATCACTTAACAGACTCCTTTAACGGAGATGGACGACAGCTAACGGAGAGTGACCAAACGTGAACGGTTTTTATAAAGTGAAGTACCACCAATGAATTTAAATATTTTGAGTGACCAAACTTGAACGTTTCTTGTAATCTCAGTGACCAACCATACAATTAACCCTTGTTTGGTTTTTTACTTCCTTTTTGTTCTAAAACAAACATAAATGTGGAAACACAAATATTGAAGGTGCGAATTGGTTGAAGACGAATAATGAGATGATTGATATTGTTTTATTTTTCCACGTATATAATTGTAGGACTAATTCCACTAGGAGGTCCAAACTATTCAAAAAGTGTCATATTGAATAATTTAGGACACAAATGACTCTTTTAGGATAGTTTGGACTTCCTAGTGGAATTAACCCATAATTATATAGATCTAAATAGACCCATTTGAATCCAGCTCGAATAGGTTGATCCAAATTGGAGTCAATTCAAATCAAATATTATTAAGAGCATTTATGAGTCCATTGGTATCCAACCCGATACACATATGAGTCATGACAATTGGGTTCAATTACCCAATAAGTCGACCCATTGTCATCGACAATAATAATTTTATAAACGCAAATCATAAGATCAATTTAATAAAATAAAAAAAAACTGATGACCATTCGTAAAATACGTCAAACTATATCTAATAATTGTGAACTTCATACATAGCATACTAAAAAATTATAACAAATCAGATAAAACTAAACTAAAGATATATAGATATGTGAGAAAAGAATAAATCATCTACATTACTCATTTATTTGTCATTTACTATCTAATTAGCCCATGATGGGACATCTACAAATATAAATGTATTCATAACATTACATATATGTTGGGAACTTGGAAGGCTTGTATGTAGTGATCGTTGTTAGTTTGCTCAAGCTTTGTGGCAACATGGAACCCTCCTCCCAATCTCTGGCAATTGAAAGTTTCTCCCGCAGTTGGCTACTAACAAGTGTGAATTCCTCCTCCTCCTCGGATTGTTTACAAGCCTCGCTCAGACCATCCATTGATGGGTTTTACGATCTCAACTCCAAACAAGTGGATTACAAGATGCTGCGCCCCAGAAGATCAACATCAGAAGAAGAAGAATCACACAAGTTCTGTTTCGACATTCCAGCCTCTGTCTCTGCTGCTGCAGGAGGAGGAACAACGGTTGCCCCAGCCGACCAGCTTTTCTCCAATGGAGTCATCAAGCCTTCTTGTCTCTACAACGAATTAGAATCACACACGTCGAAGCCGGCAGCTCCTCCTCCTCCTCCTCCTCCTTCCTCTGCCTTGGGCGCCGCCAACAAAAGGGCGGTTTCTGCAGTCAACATCCAGTGTCAAGTTCTGGGAAGATGGAGGAAGCTGTCTGGCCGCGTCCTGTTGAACTACTTCCGGCGTCTGAAGTATTCGTGGGTACGGAGCTCCAGCTCCAGAAAGTGTATAAGTGGGGCGGATGATGCTGCTGCAGCTGCTGCTGACAGAAGAATTCTGCAAGTCAATAAAAGCAGCTCGCCGCAGGTCTCACCAAGAAGAAGCAGCACGGCTTGTTCACCGGATGATGGTTGGTCCGAGGCTGATTCCTCTATCTATGAGGCAGTCCTTCACTGCAAAAGGTCAAATAGGTAATACTCTGAATTCAATACACACATTTTACACCAAAATTTGATGAAGCTGGACTGAAAAATTGCTCATAAACTAATCTCGTGTCATGTGCTTTTATGTCATCAGGTAAATGACTGCAAATATGATGATGAGCTTATACTTTACAAACTACATAGCAAAATATTGATAAGCCACTTTGAACTGTTCAAGACGGTTAGTACTTCACTTTACAGCAGCTCCTATATCCCAGCTTTCATTCTGTTTCACTCACTCTTTGGAATTCATTGATGTACTCTTGTATTTAACCATTCATGCATCAATAATACCTCATGGGTTTGCACAACCTTTCATGGTATCGGAGCCTCATCTTTACTCAAACAAGTCTCTTCTTCTTCTTTCTCTGTTAAGTTGTTCCTTCTTTTCTTTCGCAACCATGACCATCAAATCCCCAGACTCTTCTTCTTCTGCTGGTTCTGCCTTCTATGCTTCTGCTTAGGGCTGAAAATTGCCCTGATCCGTCCCTGACTCGGTCTGACCCGTCTCTGAAGGGTTAAGATGTATAACTGACAAATCTCCAGCGGCTGATCCAGAACATAGTAGAACACTAGGCCGGGCCGCATTTTGTTAGAAAATTATATACCATAAAAAATTCAAAGTTTTTTTACAATATCAATTGTACACATCGATCTTTTAATATAGCGAATTTATCGATAATGGAGTATACATCCATACCAATAGCATATTACTCTCTTTCAAATAAAATAGTTAACCAATCTGCGAGAAATTCATCGCTCATTTTGTTGCGGAAATCATTTTTCACATTTTCATTGTTGAAAATGTTCTCTCCATAGTAACTGTTGAAAACTTGAAATGGACAATGTCCAAATTAGACAAATCAATCGACTAATCAATTTGTATCCTGTTTCCATCCCTATTTCCATCAGCGGCTCTAATAATTTTTCAAATGAACCAACCTCATATTTCTTTTAGTCTTTTACGTTTTAGACTTTTAGAATTTTAGGTTTCATTTTTTTTTTCTCTTTAGACGAGGGTCATTGGAACTAGAATTTCTAGGCTAAATTTAGAGTTGTGATTTGAATATGTCATCTGACTCATTTTTCTAATTACACACAATCTTATTATAAAATAATATTGGCCCGAATGACTAAAATCGATAAACTCATAAGGGTTATACTAGCTGCGGATCAAGAGGAGAGCTGGGCCGTGGTCCGGTGTGGCTAACCCCTGGATCCGTCAATGCCCGTCTCGTCCCTGTCTCATTCTTGACCCTGTTTGACCCTCAAGAATGGGACGGGTCGGGACAGTGGGTCGACCCTAATCTACACACTACTTTTTTACAAATTACGTTTTGGTACCCAAAATTATTTTTCTTACAATTTAGTAGCTAAAATTTATTTTTTTTACAAATAAGTCATTAAATTTTTATGCTAAAATTACATTTTGGCACCCAAAATTTTTTATTTTTGCAATTTAGTACCTAAACTTTTAAAACTTTTGCAAAGAGGTCCAATGGCCTATGACATATTTGTTGTTGCTAAGGGTCACAAGGTAAAAAAGTGACCCGTCTCGACCCTTATAGGGTCAAAAGCTGACCCGTCCCTAAACTGACCCTATAGACAAACAGATCCGCAAATTCTCAACTCATAATCAAATTTTGTCCCACCAATTATCTCTTATGGCATGCTTAGCTCGTTCCGCTTCTTTGGTGCCACAAACTCTTGGGTCATGCGATAGGAACTTCCCCTGCGCCTCCTCAATTCATCAATGCCCTTCTGAATCAGGCGCACTTCACCTAGTACGAACATGATCATCTCGACTTGTCTTGGATTACCTTATCTCTCTTCAAAGCTGTCATGACTAACGTGTTTCCCTGAACTTGCTTCTCTTCATGTCTTTGGTTGTCTCTGTTATCCTTGGTTAAGACCACTTACCCCTCACAAAGATATAGCAAATTACATAAGGGCTATAGATGTCTGCACAATGCCACAAGTTGCATTTATGTCAGTCGCCATGTCTTATTCGACGAAACTTATTTTCCCTCTATCGATTAGAGAAATAAACCCATACCACAATCCTATCACCTATGTTAATCTCCCTTGTCTCTAGGGATGCAAATGAGTCTCGTTCAAGCAGTACATCATTTTGGCTTCTCTGCAACACAAATTGATCCATGTTTCTTTATTTATCAATCAGGAAAAGCTCGACTGTATATGATGGTTTATGTTGATGATATCTTCATCAGTGGGTCAGGTTCAAGTATTCTTCAGCTGCTCATGGCCTATCTTTGCACAAACTTTGCTATTCGGGATCTTGGGCCATTGTTTTATGTTTTTGGGAATTGAGGCTGTTAGCACCTCAACGGGATGACTTCTTCACCAACACAAATTCATTATGGAGCTGCTTGATTGGACCCATATGACTACACAAAATCCCATTTCAAGTTCGTCTAGTACTAACATTGTTCACCACAGAGCACTTGAGGCATTCCCATAGTGTGATGACTAAACCCTCTACTGCAGTATCATCGGTGGTTTATAGTATCTTAGTTTTACTCGACCATACATATTGTTCGTTGTCAATCACATATCAGTGTTTCAAAACGAACCATCGGATGTTCACCGGGGAGCTGTCCAGCACATTCTCCGTTATCTCAAGGGATCTTCTCATGCTCATCTTCCCTTGTTGTGAATGGCTACTATGATGCTTCACGGGCTGTTTTCTTATATGCTACAAATACTGTCTCTTGGTCCACAAACAAGTAAAAACCGGTAGCTCACTGAGCGAATATAGAGCCCTGGCCACGACATCTCATGAAGTCATCTTGCTTCAGTCACTACTGTCACGACCTTACTCTCGATCGTGCGACCCTAGCTCTCAATTTCGTTAGAGCGCTAGGCAGCCTTCTCTAAAACTCACAAGCAAGCAAAGAACAAGGAAGCAAAGACAAAGGATTGGGAGAACTCTCTAGTGTGTATTATCTAAAAAATGATGGAATGAGTTACAAGTGAGGTGAATCCTAGGAGCATCTCTATGTACTAGTCTTCCATGCATGCCACATGTGCAGCCGCCATGTTGTCACCTTGTTGGCACCATGTCATCTGCCACATGTGACACTACTCTGGGAAATGGGTATGCAGCTGTCAACATCACTGGTACAATGGTGTGACAATCTGGGTGCACCTACACCCACGAACCTGTTTTTCATAGAAAATCCAAACACATGGAGATTGAATTTCATTTTGTAAGAGATTGTGTAAACAAATAGTAGATTCGAGTACACTACATATCGGCTTTTGAGCAATTGGTTGATGTTCTTACCAAGCCACTACCATGATCCTTTGAGAGGTTGTGCTCCAAGTTTCGAATCTCCAGGCCTCCACTTGTAGTTGTAGGAGGTGATAAGCCACTTTGACCAATTCAAGGCTATTAGTACTTTTTTATAACAACTCCCATATGTTTTTTTTATGGTTAATCAAAAAATGCATTAAGCTCCAGGATCCTTGTCACTAAGGGCACTCTCAAAAAATGCATTTGATGCTTTAGAGCCTTGTTATTGCCCGAATTTCAACAATTCAAGGCCCCCAAGCACTGGTGGAAGAAAGAATGATTATTGTTCTATATTGTGTGTGTTTTGGAATCTGCTACTTATGGCCAAATTTTCAAATTTTTGGGTTCAAACACCTTGTGCCATGCATGATTCCTAATCATTGTATTTAGAATTGTTGGATGTTATGATGGTATGCATTCTAGGGAGGTTAGTGTAGCATTTGGAAGGATATCGGTCCATGAGAATTGTTACCTCTACTTCCTCTTTGATTGGTTGATACTGTTGACTAGTGATATTAGGACATATGTGTTAGACTCTCCTCCATTTTTGGACTCGAAAAAGTTTTTTAAAAAGGTTCTCCATTTTTTAACGTGCTTTAAATGAATAATGAGTGTTCTCATGAGAGTGGGAAGCGGTGTTTAAGTTGAATCGTCAAAGGTCTTTTCTTTTGGACCGGAGTGCCCTTTGAGGATGTGTTGATGGAATTTGGATAGCTTTCTAACGTCCAACCTTCATCTTCCCCTAAACACCTATCATCCTCACGAGACTTGTTGATAGGAGGTAGTGTGCCTTTGTTCAAGTCGAGAGACCTCGAATGTTGCTATTGCCTCACATGTGTGACAACTCGTCTTTCGTTAAGGCCGGAGTTCATGTTGGGATTAACGCTTGAGAGATCTGGATTCACGTCCGAACGCTTCACCTTCATACACTTTTCCATCTTGTCAACCATCACTTTCTTCGCATGCGGCTAAGAAAGAGACGTCATTGTCACTTTTGCTCTAGGCCATGAGATAGAGAGCCCTTGTTTGTGAAAATTGTAGGTGTGATGCCATGAGCGACATTGTAAGTTGAGGCACAAAATTTTGAGCCCCTTTTTAATTAGGAGCACCACCATCGAGTCCACCATTTTTTGGATTCTCTTCATACACATGATGCATGTCTTGGTTTCACTAGCTGACAAGGTCCCAAGTTTGGTTTGTGTTCACATTAAAGTAGGGGTGAAATTTCTTGCCTTCGATTGACATCTAAGTGCTAGTTGTTTTGCTAACTGTGATCTATAATGCTTACCGTTGTGACGGTCCGTCAAGTTGTAGCGGTATGAGCTACGTTTGCTAGAGGACAAGCAACCGGTTAAGTGTGGGGAGTTTGAGTCGAGCCAAGCTATACACATTTATACTCCTTTCTCTTGGGTGTTTGACTTGTGTTGCATCTTCTTTGAAGCCATTTTATGCTACATTTTGCATGTTTGAGTATGTTTCATTTCCTAGCAGGTGAAATGGACAAAAGGAACAAAAGTCAGACAAATGGGGCACAATGGTGAAAAGTGTCAAAGGTCACGCTCCAGGACATTTCTCCACGGTCAATGCGTGACTTCTACATCAAAACTGTGAACTTTGCAGAGTCCCAGAAAGAAGAGGACGTCTCACAGGCAGTTGCAAACCTCACAGGCTCAACTTGTGAGGATTTCACCAAAACCGTGAAAATTGTTAGTAAACGATGCACATCGAGTCGACCTTACAGTTTATTTGCAAAGTTCACGACCGTGAACTTAGCACTTCCTCGCTTTATAAAGGAGCATAAATATGATTTCAAGGGGAGGTGTTTTAATGTGAGAAAATCCATCTGTTGGGTAGAGTGAGTGACGAACCAGAGAGGTTGGAGGAGATTTAGAGCTTCCCACCACCATTGGAGGCTTGAATTCACTAAGAAGAGCAGCCAAGGAGCAAAATCTTCTTCCTATGATGATTGTCTTCTCCGTTTTGGTTGGTTTTTTCAATCTAGCTATGAAGTACTTCTCCAATTCACTTGGCTGTTGTGGAACCCTACTTAGTATTTTATAATTGATTGTTTGTGAACCCTATCCTTGATTTACATCTTGATTATATATTGAGTTGAGCATTATTCATGGAAATTGATAGTTCTTGATCAATTCCCCCAATTTGGGGCTAATTGGCCTAGATGAGAGAATATTTTCCTAGGGTTGATCAAGAGCATTGCCAATTCAACACTTGGTTTCCATGAACGAGGGTAATTATATCCTTTTTTTTCGTACCGGGTTTTACCCAATTGTGAGAGTAGTTGTGGTCAGTGGCCGATCCAAAAAAAATTTATTGGGGTCCTCTTTAAAAAATAAATAAATAATAATTAAATTAAATAATTCATAAATAAGAAAATACATGACTAGTACAAATTTTAACAAAAGGCCACAATGTGTTTTCATATTCTGAAAAAGAATATAAAATATACTTGACGTCTTCACTGCTCAACAAATCTGTATATCATACTAGACAATAATTCACGAACTGATATCATATTCGAATTCTAACCTTGTTCTTTATGTAACTTAAAGTTGAAAGACTCTTTTAACTCTTGCTGTGTAACTATAAAATCAATTCAAATTAAGGATAGCCCACAATTAGTTTAGTTGTTAGGTTTTGAAAATAGTTGGGGTACTTCACGACTATGTGCAACCTCTAATCCAGTGGAGTATAGAGCAAGTGTTTCAAACATCAACAGTGATCGCGACAGTGATTATGTGCGTTAGCCGTGATATTTTCTTGGTCTGGATACTTCACGACCGTGATCCTAGTGCCTTGATTGTAATTTTTTGTTTCTTTCATTTTTGTCTCTTTTTTCCACACTTGTGCTTGAATTCATAGACATTTGCACTTACATCTTTAAATGGTACCTAGAAGATCATGGATATGAAAGAGGAAGCAATTCTAGGCTATCAAGATTTAAATGTTCTTTAGGTGTTTAAATTCTCAAGAAAACATCTAAGAAATGAAAAATTAATATTTTTTTTGGTGTTATTATATGACTTTTTGAGGTGTTAATTTGGATGGAAAAATGGATGTGACTAACGAAATGTAAAAATAAGTTATTGGCTTGTTAAAAATCAAACGCAAGTTACTATTTTGTTAGTGACCCCAAGAGTAAGCGTTATTATTATTATTTTTTTGTCATTACTTATGACTCATGAGATTCAAGATTATTGAAAAAGGGATAAGTAAATTGAATATTTGGGGAGCAGTCTCTAACTCACTCTCCCTTCCCCCTTAATCCAAAATTACCTTAGACTATCTTTACTATTTTTATGAACAATGTGGTATTATATCATCAGTAAGACTTTACTAGCAACATCCTCGTCAACTAGACTATATAATACAAAGAACCGTTACAATTTATTACCCTGGAAAATATCTTGTCCATACATTACAACTATCCAAAATTCTGCTATATCATATATCATATTAAAAGACAACAAATATCAAAACAAATCTCTCCGCCAAATCCAACTGATAAGAGAAATCCACTTCAATTTTCCTTTCACAACAGTAGGTCTTTTACCTCTCAATTCCTGAACTCTGCAGCTCAACAGTTACTTGGTACATGAACTTTGCCAAATAGCTATTGAAATACCTATTAATAAAAAATTGCACAACCAACAAATTAGTGATCGTTGTTACATGAAATCTAATTAATAACCGATCTCGCATATTCTCCTTAGCCATACCATCATATTTGGTTATTGCATTCTTAATCACAAGCCAAGCATATTCCCACTTAAGCCATTCCATGTAGGGTTGTTCAAACGGTGTGGTTACCATGGTAACCGTTTTAACCAGTACTATTTGGATAATTTGGTTTGGTTAATTTGGATAATTGGTTTGGTTAAAGTTTTTAGTTTGTTTGGTTTAGGTGGTTTGGTTTGGTTTCAGACACTCACAACCGGCCAAACCAAATTAATCAGATAAATAATTAGCCATATATATAATATATACACATACTTAATACTTTGAATAACCACTCATGAGTCAAACGTTCATTCCTTTTAGACTCATAAAATATAAAGCTTGATATTGCTCCTATAATGTATATTTGTATATGTAGAGTGTAGACCACAACATATGAACGCCTAATTTAGATAAATCTCATACATTATGTTGGATGAAAACATGAAAGCAAGGTCCTTTTCAGCTTATGAAAATTGCTAAAAGACTAAGTCAATCCAAACAAACACAAAAATACATTAACCCATACCATTGCGATAAATTTTTATTAGGTGAATATTTCTTTACTAACCGTAAGATAATTGTCTTAGTTGCATGTATTTATGTTAAGGGTCAACTATAACTATGTGTTGATAGTTATGTTTTATTCATTATATAAATTGTGAATTGATAAATTAACCAAAATTTTCTCACTTAATGATAATGTTATTTTATATTAGTTAATCTGGTTAACCAATTAAACTTTAATTTGGTTAATTTGGTTGTTGTATTATTTTTGAACGATTTGGTTATGACATTATATTCCATGATTAATAAAATTTAACTAACTATGGTAACCATTTAAACACCCCTAATTCCATCGCATTTGGTTATTGCATTCTTAATCACAAAGCCAAGTGAGGAATCATGTTTACTTTTCATTATCCAGTCAATTTTACTTTTTTTTTACTTCTCATCATTTCCCCATTTTACGCCCCAATCCTTCCCGGCCACTAAATCCAAATCTGGCAATCCGATGGCTGTCGATGCAGCCAACACGTCCTGAAGAATCGGCTTTCTTCCAATTGGAAAATCAATCAATCAAATCAGAGGCCCCGGGAGCTCGTATAAAAAACATTAAAAATAGAAGTCACACAGCCAACACTCGCAACACCATAAATATATAAATATAAATAAATACACACCCCACTTTCCCCTTTCCTCCCTGTCATTTTTCGAAATCCCAAACCCACAGCAGCGGCCACCACTTTCTCCCGTCAATCGCAGAAGCATTAACGCCGCTCGTCGCTCTCCCCCCCTTCCTCAGGTGAAATTCCCCCTCTCGCATTCTCTCTTTCAGTTCTCCGTCCAACTTTTTTCCGTGCTCTGGTTTGGTTCCCGGGGAAAATCGTTCGGTTCGTCGTTTTCGGCCTGCATTGTGCCGTATCCGAATGAATTGAATCGCAGATCTGGGTTCGTTTAGCTCAGGGCAGTTGTAAATTCCTTTCCCTGGTATTGATCTGTTGATATTGAGTGATGTATTTTGTTCCTGATCTTTGAGTTTAGCTGGACGGTGAGTGATATGGTCCCCCTCTAACCCTAGAGTAATCTTAAATGGCAAATATGCTGATCTTCTGCTCCGGCTCGGGGAACCTTTGGATTTTTAAAAAAGGGCTTAACTTGCAATATTACTTCTCCACTCACAATGCAGTGCAATGCGGCTGTAGATCTAGATTCCGGCTGAATTCAATTGTGAGTTTATGCTTGCGTTCAGAATCAGCTTTCTATATCTTGATCTTGCTCTGTGTGGGACACTGAGACTTACCCGTATTCTGAAAAAAGACAATTTTAGACATAAGATCATCTGACTTGCCAATTGGCAACGTAGGGTGGTCAGTTAGCCCTTGTATAATGGAATGTGTTCAACATGTATTCTTAACATCTCTGGCCCAAAGTGGTATGTTAAATTTGAGTGAACGTGATTGCCCTGTTTTCAAGTCTGTGTCTCATGTTTGATACAATTTGGAGGGTGATAGCATTGTTTATCTTATTTCCTGGCACAAGGGACTGAAACATTCGAGTAAGATTTCTGGGTCTGATCTAGTATTTTAGCTAGTTATTTCTCAAAAGTATTTCGGGCATGGTTTCTATCTGCAATTCTGAGCATGTGTATGTGTATCACTTATTTGTCCAGAAAGCATCTCCCTAGTGTATGTTGCTTAGAAGATGAAGTAAGCACATCGTTCAGCCGTGAGGATGTCTTTTGAACTTATAATTTACAAATCCATAGCCGATTTTATTACTCTGCGAACCAATAACTTTGCTGCTTGACCGCAGTGGGATTTAGCATGCTTGAAATAATGGGCCTCTTATGTGTTGGGTTCCTGTTCTCTTTCATGATTCTTGTACCGGCTGTCTTTTCATATCCTGTTGGTCTATGTCTGATGGTGGTATTCTATGTCAGCTTATAGAAGATGGCAGAAGGTGAGGATATCCAGCCACTTGTCTGCGATAATGGAACTGGAATGGTCAAGGTACTGTATTTTACATTGCAAAAAGGTCTTTTGAGATTGCTATTTGCAGGATGCCATGCGGTGGCAGTGTATGCTGATACATTTTTGCCACGTTCTAGGCTGGGTTTGCTGGTGATGATGCTCCTAGGGCGGTGTTCCCTAGCATTGTTGGTCGCCCACGCCACACGGGTGTGATGGTTGGAATGGGGCAGAAGGATGCCTATGTTGGGGATGAAGCTCAGTCTAAGAGAGGTATTTTGACCTTGAAATACCCCATTGAGCATGGTATAGTAAGTAACTGGGATGATATGGAGAAGATCTGGCATCACACTTTCTACAATGAACTTCGAGTTGCCCCAGAAGAACACCCTGTGCTGCTTACTGAAGCACCTCTCAACCCAAAGGCCAATCGTGAGAAGATGACCCAAATCATGTTTGAAACCTTCAACACTCCTGCTATGTATGTTGCCATTCAGGCTGTCCTCTCCCTTTATGCCAGTGGTCGTACAACTGGTGAGTGTCTCTAAATCAGCATGTTCAACTGAAATAATGTATTGCTCCATTTGAAGACTGATGAAAAGACAAGAATTAATTAAATCAAATGGTAATGAACACATAGCTTTATGAAGTTCAAACTTGACTTAGATTGTCCATTTTGGTGCTCTACCAATTAAAGACGACTAGACTGTTATGGTAGAAAGTGAGTTAAAATGTACACGAAAGTTGTCATTTCGGAGTGAATAGAGGTGTAATAACTAATAACTATGGAACTTAATGTGTCTTCGCTATGCAACTAAGCACCTTACTTCAAGTTACTAGCTTTCTGGCAGACCTAAGTTAATATGAGTGTTTCTTACCTTGACAATCTTGTTACCTTCTTGTGTGCAGGTATTGTTCTGGACTCCGGTGATGGTGTCAGCCATACCGTCCCTATCTATGAGGGATATGCACTCCCTCATGCCATCCTCCGTCTCGACCTGGCTGGTCGTGACCTGACTGACGCTCTCATGAAAATTTTGACCGAGCGAGGCTATTCCTTCACTACCACAGCTGAGCGGGAAATTGTGAGGGATATGAAGGAGAAGCTAGCATACATAGCCCTTGACTATGAGCAGGAGCTGGAAACTTCAAAGACTAGCTCTTCTGTTGAGAAGAGCTATGAGCTTCCTGATGGACAAGTGATAACAATTGGTGCTGAACGTTTCAGATGCCCTGAAGTCCTTTTCCAGCCCTCAATGATCGGAATGGAAGCTGCTGGGATTCATGAGACTACATACAACTCTATCATGAAGTGCGACGTGGATATCAGAAAAGATTTGTATGGCAACATTGTTCTTAGTGGTGGATCTACCATGTTCCCAGGCATTGCAGACAGGATGAGCAAGGAAATCACTGCTCTGGCTCCTAGCAGCATGAAGATCAAGGTGGTTGCTCCACCTGAGAGGAAATATAGTGTCTGGATTGGAGGCTCCATCTTGGCATCTCTCAGCACTTTCCAGCAGGTTCGTATTAGCAATGATATCATGATTGCAAAGAAGTAACTGCCAATGATATGTGGAGATGGTAGTATCTGATAAGTTATATTTTGCTCAATTGAATGCAGATGTGGATCGCCAAGGCAGAGTACGATGAGTCTGGCCCCTCCATCGTCCACAGGAAGTGCTTCTAAGTCATGCTATGCTGAGGCTGTCGTCTTTCTTTTTCTTCTTGTGTTGGAGCCGTTGCATCTTGCAAGAATTTCCTCTGTTTATGTTAGCTTCTTTCTCGTTTCATATTACTATTATTTTTCTTTCTCCTCTTCCGAATTCATTCGGCTATGCACTAAGAACGAATGAAGTGACATATTGTCATTCTCGTTAGCAGATTTCTCAATACAAGTTATGCGATCTCGTATTATGATGTCTGGTGTGGTAGAGACTTCATATTTATTTACTAGTTAAATCTGCACTTTCTATGTTCCTTCATCGGAAGGGTTGGCTTTGGCGATTTGCTTACCGTCCTTTTCCGTGTTAGCATTTGCGAAACCATACTAAATTGGGTGTGTTGTAATTGATTTTTTTGTCTCAACTTTGGTCCTCTTGGCATTTTGTTTCTTAGCCCATAGGTGCACAACGATCTTTATGATCCAGATGAGTTGGTTACAACTTACAATACGCCGTTTAGGGTAGCGGTGTCGGGTCGGGTTTGGATAACCGAACCAAAATTCAAAAATACTTGAAAATAAAAAATGTTGTCCTTTGAAAACCGAACCTGAAATTGATAAAGATTTTACGGTTTCTGTTAATCGAAAAGTCGCTTAACAATTTTGGGTTTGAGTACCGCAAAATCGAAACCCGAAAATCAAAACACACTATGAAATATGAAGAGTTTATATGGTTTCAGATTTTTAGCTAAACCTGAAATCAAAATCGAAACCGAAAGATGAAACTCGAAAACTACAAACCCTAAACAAAATCGAAACCCAAAACCCAATAATATAGCTTACTAGTTCCGGTTCGGTTAAAACCAAAAAATTAAACCGAATTGACACCCCTAGTTTAGGGTGTCATCATGTGTGCATGGGACATGAGTTTTCTGATGTATGTGAAACACTAGTGGTTCATGGAGTTTTTTCTTATTTATGAGAAAAGGTGGAGAATACCCACTAGCTTATACAATTTATAATACCTCAGAAATTTCAATCATATCACAAATTCAAATTGTATCATATAAAAGTCAATAACCACTAACCGAGTCTTAATCAGAAATAGAATGCAATCCAAGAAGCATATATATATATATATATATATATATATATATGGTTATGTCTTCGGTGCACTCACTTTTTTGGGTGCATTCAATGCACCCGCCTCATAATCGTCATTCTGAGCAGACGATTCATGTGAAAACGATGTCAATCATCCCTTGTAGTATGATGAACAAGAACCACAAAAATTTGTACAAAAATCAATCTAGGTTCACTTTAATTTGAATGATTCAGGGTTTAGGAATTTAGGGTTAGGGTTAGGGTTTACAATTTGGGATTTTGGGTTTAGATTCAAAATTGAATGTTAATAGGTTAGGGTAATGGGTTGATTAGTTGTGATTTTATGTTATATCATCATATGAGACTAATGCTACCCATTAAATTTCAAAATTTGATGTATTATGACCACTTTTAAAGGTGGGTGCACTGAATGCACCCAAAAAAGTGAGTGCACCGAAGTAGCCACCATATATATATATATATATATATATATATATATATATATGGTGCCGTATTCGGTGCACCCACTTTTTCGGGTGCACTCAGTGCACCCACCTCATAATTGTCATTCTTATCATGCGATTCATGTCAAAACGGTATCAATTGTTGCTGATGATATTATGAACAAGCACATGAATTTGAAAAAAATTCATTCAAAATTTACTTTAATTCGAAGGATTTAAGATTTAGGGCTTTAGGGTTAGGGTTTAGGTTTACAATTTGGGATTTTGGGTTGGGATTCAAAATTGAATGTTAAGGGGTTAGGGCAATGGATTGATTTGTTATGATTCTATGTCATATCATCATATTATATTGAGAGTACTAATTAAAATTCAAAATTTGATGTATTATGGAAGCTTTTAGAGTTGGGTGCACTGAGTGCACCCAAAAAAGTGAGTGCACCGAAGTAGCCACTATATATATATATGCGCCTTTATTAGCCAAATGATCATCCTAAAGATAGCTCTCAATGGACATGAGATCGTCACCATCCATTCTCGCTCGAGAAGATTGTTAAATTGAAGCACTAGGCCATCATATTGACGAGCAGGGTTGTATGTGACTGTAAGAATCAAACTGCAAGACGACCCTTTGATATCCAAAATGTTAGGTTAGTTGAAAACCTTTAGTGGCCTCTCACAAACCTTAGCGACTTCCAGTTGACTTCTTCATCATTAGAACTCATCTTTTTTCAGAAAAGCTTAAGATTATTCTCTTTATAGCTTATTTGATCCTCCAGAATTTTCCAAATGCTTGATCCAATCTTTCTTATGTTGATTTGTAACTTCAAAACCACCAAAAATATACTCAGAAGGCATCAAAGAGTACAAGAACATAACCTAGGTCTGTTAGAGGCTCATCGATCAAATATTTTTTATTTAGATATGAAATACTATTGAAATGGCTAAATGTATCTTGATAGCAGGGGAAAATGTTTTAAGAATGAGAGCAATAAACACTATAAATAAGGTGTCATCACCTAACTACACATTCTCGATTGAAGGCCAAGCATAACCGACGACCGAGTGTAGCATAGGGTAAGTAAAGTAATAAAATTATCGAACCACAGGTCTCTAGTGTACCGTTACTTCAACTATGATTTGTTATCTAGCCAAACAATAGTAGTGATTAAGAGACTAAGATAACTAAACTACTTAACCACTACTCTAGCTACTTATAAGATGAGAGGTCACTTATGCATGAATCTCCTTAGGTCCAGCTTCGAAGTAAAAGCTGCAACTGAGACTCATTCGTATTTCGCGTTACATAGCCTGACAAAGCCAACCAATGCCATGGCGTGGTTCTCCCGAATGAGGGTTTGGAAAGGTTGCAATGACAAAACCGATCTTGTTCTTGGCAAGGAGAGAACAAAAATTGACACGAGTAAGGAGAATTGATCTATATGGACAAAAATGTATGCTTAATACTTAGTTGATTACAGTGAACCAAAAGTTCATCTCTGATCAATTGTTCACCTTGATCACTCCTAATGTGAATGATTTTTGTTGTTTCTCATTTTGGACTTGTAAAATAAATGACTTTAAAATTTCTTAGCGGTCTTATATTTGATAGCTAAGAATACATAAAAAAAAATCTCCTAAAATTATCCACGATAACTAATGCATAGTGTTTAGTGTTTACCTCCAAAAACCATGTTACTTGGAAGTCCAAAGTCCAATTGAAGCAGCAGAAGATGACGCCTTGGCTAAATTCTCAAATTGGGCTGGTAATCAAATGTACTGTTGATACGGGTCCGTCTAAAATGGACCTTAATTTTGGGCCTTCATTTTTTTTTTTTGTAGAAATTTTGGGCCTTTATCCAATGAGCAAAGCCAGGAACTTTATCCCCCATCGATAGTTCGCTTCGTTCATTTACTTCACCGGTCCACTTTCTACGCGACGGCAATATTCAATTCAGCCAGCAGGAGGCGAGGATGGCGACGGCGGACGAAGAAATCAGAGAAGTCGACGAGATGAGCTCGGAGACGACGCCGCTAATCGAAGCCGACGGCAACCCGAAATCCCTAGGGACGCCGGTGCCAGAAGCGGAGATTCATCTTTATCGGCAAGGGAAAGGCCCGATTGAAGTTCTCAAGATGAAATTAGGAGGGTGGGAGCAGGATCAGCTGGAGGTCCGAGACATCCTCGATAAGCACGGCTTCAAGTGCGTTTACGCTTTCAATCCCGGGTCCATGACCCGCGGCACCCCGATCCGATTCAACCGGAAGAACGGCAGGTCCATGCTTGCTTATAAACACGGAGCCGTAATTTACATCGACGGCGAGCCACAGGTAAACCCTTAATATCTCACTTATCTGCTCTGTTCTCTGGATCGGGAAAAGTTTCTTTCTTTGAGAAGAATATGTTTAGATGCTAAATACCATGGATCAATGCACTGCTTGGCTGACCCATGGTCTTTTTTAGCTTGGTGATGGCAGTCTATATGGCTCCGTTGAGAATTACAGTTGTGCTAAGATACTGAAAATGGGGATTATAAGTAGTAAGGGCCACTGGAGTTCCATTAATTCGTGATTCAATTCTTGTTTCTTGAGTTACAGATTTCGTGAGCCTCATCATCCCAGCAAACTGGATTAGTCTGTTGTCCTGTCTTTCCCATTACTGTAGAAAATTTACACCTTGGAGTAACTAATAAGCTCTAGAAGTAGGCTAAAGCAAATACAGTTCTAGCAGCTCTGCCTTGAATGTTTTTCTCCCACTTTCCAGAATGCTTTACTTGAAAAACCATATTACTGATGCAATTGAACATGGAATTTCAGGATTCGATGATAAAGCCGGTCACCAAGATCTTGTTCGGGGTGGCAATAATAACCTTATTCATAACCGTACTGGTGAAAGAACCTCCTCAGTGGATCAAGAATTCCAGGATCTTTGAGGGTAACTTTAACCCGTGGCTCCTCGCTTTGGGCGTTATTGTGTTTACACGAATTAGGAAGAGAACCAAAGACTTCTTAGGGAATCGCGCAGCCAATGAAGATGTTCATCTGCTGCGGAACATAGCTTGATGGGCGACACAGAAGTTTGATAATCAAGTTTGGGGCTTGTGATCACTTGATACGGATGAAGGCTGCATGACAAAGAGCCTGAAGAAGGGAAGGGTGGTTCCATCTGGTTTTATGCTGTTGCCTCGATAGCACCAGCTGGTGGACCTCTTCTGAGGTTAGGGCTTTGGAGTATGTTTTAAGGCTTTGTATACTAGGCAACAGGCTATTTCAGATGTGATGTTGCGGTACAGACAATGTTTTCTCCTTTTATGGAACTGGAGAGATGGACGTGAAACTAAAGAGTGGCCACCCTGTACCTCTTGTTGCAAGTGAAGCAACGTACACCAGGTTGCCTCTGTTCCAACTTCCAATTATGTCGACGATAGTCTCACAAATCCTCTAGGCGGCATGCAAGGACCTGGTCGAGCAACTATATATTGGGCCTTCTCCCGCTGTCTGAGCCACCGTCCCAACTGCCTGCACCACAAATGAAGGTGGGGCTGCTCCACCCACCGATGGTTCCTCCGCCACTCGCCCCACCCATGGCCAGTTGGAAGTCCCAGCGGTTGATAACACCTTTTAGGTGTTATTTAGCCCTTATTCTTAAGGCATTTGAGTGTTAAATCATTGTGTCTAGGCTACCTATCAAGTTATTTATGCCTATTCGTTCTTATTTGCAAAACAATTCGTATTGGCATATGTATTCTTGATAATTCATAGGGGAATCAACCCCACTTTGTCGTATTTTATGATTTTCTAAGTGTTTGTGATGAAATTACAGGTCATATACATTTGATATTGATCGGGAATAGATTGGAGTTCATCTGAGCACGATTGAAAAGCATAGGAGCAATAAGGGTAGAAAAAAACACAGGTCATGGCCACACGTCACTACTCTTGACCAGGCCGTGACGATGATCGCGACCTCACGATTGTGGCCGCGATCATTGGCCACGAACCTCAGCTGGCGACCAAGAAGAAGGCAGAAAGGTTTCCCCATTCGAATCGCGGACATGGTGCGTTTTGACAGCGAAAAAGATCACGTCCGTGACACAAAGATCAAAGCCGCGATCTTATGAAGGATGTTGTGGTCTTGGAGCTTAAAGACGTAGTCAAAATGCATCGTTTCGGGCGATTCAGAGACGTTCCAGCTGGTCACTGTCAGGTCACGGCCGTGACCATCGCGTCATGCACTAGAGGCCTTGACCGCCATCAAGTTTCTATAAATACCTCATTTTCTGCACTTGACAAAAGAGAGCCGCCCTGGAGTGAGAAAGTTAGGATTTTGGGTTGTTTTTAGAGAGAAAAACACATTGGGAGAACTTAATTGAAGATCCAATCCACCCAAGGAGGAAGAAGAAGGTGCTAGCAAGGAGAATAATATTGATTCCATCACTCCCTCTCTTCTAGTTTGTGGTTTCTTTCTCTCTCTATGACTTGAATCTCTAATGGTTGTTTAGGGAGGATGAACCCTAGTTTATAGGTTGTGTTTATCTAGTTGATTTCATTTCTCATCTAGCTTTAATTATGCTTGAGTAAGTCGCCCTAATATTCTTTACTAGCCTACTTGAGCTTCTATGCTGGGTAAGAAGTTTTAGGGTTAGACGAGTATGTGTCATCTTGCAAATTAAGGTTAGATGATTGAATATGATCTTGTGGTGGATGAGGCGACCGTACTCCTGCCATAAGCATGCAGAGCCCTTTTACTATGCTATAAAGTATTGGTGCTTTAATGTACAACTTGAAGTTGTACCATAATATTAAATGTATAAGTTCAAGTTGTACCATAAATGAATTTGTACCCTTATGTTATGGTACAACTTTACAAGTTGAAGTTGTACCATCACATAAAGGTACAAGTTCAAATTGTACCAATAAGAATATGTACAAAACAGTGTAGGTATAATCTATAATTGTACCATAACATTGAATATACAATTTCAAGTTGTACCATAAAGGTAAAAACCTATAGCACCAATACTATATAGTATTGTAAAATTCCTCAAGCATGCATTCCTATATAGAACCCAGGATGAAACCTCATGGACGGGGGTAGTACCCATTGAAATGAGTTATTTTCTTAAAGCCTCGGATACGATAGCCTAGATCAAGGTGACTGACATGGGTTTAAGGGAGGTGTACTCGGAGGCATGTGGATAATCACGAAGGCCCACAAAGAAAAGCTCACTCACCACATTCTCTTAACCCTACATGGCAACCATAGCGACGAGGATTCGACCGTAGGCAACCGTCTCATCTCTAGCATTCTCCCAACCAGTTGGTTGGTTGTTTAAGAGTAGGTTAGATTAGATTCTTTACTCAAACTTTTGATTTGATTAGATAGTAGTTCGGAGCGAAGTAATAGTAAGCTTAGGGTTCACTTGGAATACGATCGAGCCAATTTACTTCAACCCTAGCTAGGTTATGCTTGGCTTAGTTAGGATTGAATAGAGAGTGACCATCAACTTATAAATTTAAAGCTCGATCACGCAGGGGGGGATCATCGCTCCATTTCCATATCCCTAGCTCTTCTTCCTTCTGTCCCACTAGGCTGAATGTCACCCCAACAATCGGTTCAAACACCTTTACATTCACTGCCAACTTCGATCTCAATCTAGTCATCCACAACCCACCAATCTCCTCTGACATACTCTTTCACATATTAATCAGCATTAGAAACTCATATTGATACTCAACAATTGTACCTGTCTGTGAAAGTTTAGCTAAATGTTCTATGCCCATCTATTAGATAAATGAACAGGAACTTTAGCTTCTCCTTAAATCGCATCCAGGTGATCAGAATTCTTACCTTCTCATATGATCTCTCCTTCCACTCCCACTATTGTAACATGTCGCTCTCTAAGTAGAAGAACGTCAGATGTGCCTTCCTCTCCTCCCATGTAGCATGGTTTTGAGCCACCTTTTTGGTTATACAACCACAATCCTACATCCTCTTCCCAATCATATACTAGAATGCAACCCTTATACCTCTCAATGTCAGAGCCTTCGCAGCGTCCATCTCATGAATAGCCACGTCTGGATTCTCGTTACAATCAATCCTCCAGGTTCCGTGCTTCATCATCCATAGAAGGGTTACGTCCGTGACCACCCAAAACCTTCTGTGTATTAGACATTCTAAACAAAAATCAAGAGTGACAAAGACACGAATTTACGTGGTATCCCTGAATGTTCAGGACTAGTCCACGGGACAGCCTCAAGACTCTCCGAGCTACTGATATGATTTCTTAACAGTCTAGGAATATAATTACAAAATATATATACGGGACCAAACCCTAGCTAGGGCTCGACCAAGAGAATAGATGAGAGAATCGGACGTGTGCATGGGTCAGACGTGTGCATGTGTGATGGGCTATACAAAATAAACTACATAGAAAGCTATCAGACTACTTAACAACCTCCCCTAAATTGATTTGGCTCTCGAAGCATAAATTTTCTCGTCGGGAACCATTGTTGACTGATAGTGAAAGACTTACGTTAACAGATCAGCAACTTGTTCTTCAGTTGTAATATAGCATAGTTGAATAACATCTGCACGCACTAGATCACATATGAATGAATATGAACGTCAATATATTACATGCGATTATGGAGAACTAGATTAACCACAATCTGAACGGAACTAGTATTATCTCCATATGAAGCAACATAGGAGAAGCAACAAAGATACAAAGATCACCGAGTAGACGAAAGATCCATTCCATATAAGACTCGACATAAGACATAGCCATGTATTCTCCCTCTATTGAGGACTTAGACACCTTGCCTTGCTTCTTGCACTGCCAAGAAATGAAGGCATCACCAAATTGACTAGCGATTCGTACACCGTAGAGTGTCAATACACCCGACATAATCACAATCGGAGTAAGCCAGGATGAACAAATCACGAGTAGATGGGAGTAAGATCCCCACGTCCCAAGTACCCTAAAGGTAACGCATAATATGATTCACAGCCGCGAGGTGGTCAACCCGGGAGCGGCATAAACTGACTTACCACTTTGACGACATACGCTATATCATAACGCGTAACGACCAAGTAAATAAGTCTACAAACAATGCTCCGATAAGCCCAACCATCTACCAATAGCTCCCAAGAATCGCACCCGAGCTTGAGATTATACTCAATAGGAGGAAGAGCTGGAATACAACCACCAAAACGATGCTCTTCCAGGAGATCAATAACATACTTATGCTGACTAAGAAGAATTTCACGAGAGGAACAGTAAGCCTCAATCCCATAAGTACAAAAAGATGTCATTGAGAATGAAGTGATTCTTTATGTTCTTCTTAAGATTAGAAATCCCAACTGAATCATCCACTGTAACAACCATGTCATCAACGTAAAGCAAGAGAACAACCCGACCACGAGAGGTAGTATGAGTGAACAAGGAGGGGTCGTTCATACTTTGCAGAAAACCACGACTCAAGAATGTCTCAAGATAACATTGAGCAACAAGAAAACCACAACCCAAGATGGTATGATGATACCACGTTGGACATTATGAACAGAAATCAAGAGTGATGAAGTCACGAATTCACGTGGTATCCCTCAATGTTCAGGACTAGTCCACGGGAGAGGCTCAAGACTCTCTGAGCTACTGATATGATTTCTTAACCGTCTGGGAATATAATTACAAAGTATATATACGGGGCCAAACTCTAGCTAGGGCTCGGCGAAGAGAATAAATGAGAGAGTATGACGTGTGCTTGGGCCGGACGTGTGCATGTGTGATGGGATATACAAAATACATGTCATTGGGCCAAACTACACTTAAAGCTATCATACTGCTTAACACTATGAGTCTTGCCCAATATCCATAGCTTGCCTAGTTCAGTGGTCTTTAGCTCAAGGAGTCATTTGAGGGGGAAATACTGCATCTACTGCTAAGTCCACTATTGCATTTCAGCCCCCTGCATGACGCCCGTTGCTGCTGCCCCTGCGGCCTATTTGGTTTCAATCAGATTGGTTTGGTCCAACTAAAATAGAATCAACCTCATTTGATTGGTGGACAAGTTCTAGTCATCCCAACTCGGTTTAACAACCCATCATGCTCTACCAGGCCAGGGCCAACTCCTCCATCCCGCTAGGTTGGGCCTAGTTGGCCTGATCCCAGCACCATTTTTCATTTGCTTCTTGCGCTCACCATAGTATGCTCTTCATTGTTGAACTTCAGACTCAACTCATCGACCCAAGACTTATCTTCATTTTCACGATTCGATACCCTGAGCCCATGGGTCGCATAAGTCTGATGCCCGACTTCTTAGCCTTGCCACAACATTGAGATCTCTTTTATCATTGGCGTGGGCTGAAGGCCCACTAGCAATGAGGCCCACTAACACGACCACATTCGTTGTCGAGAAGGACAAAGTGGATGTCGACGGAGTTGGCTTGGGACTGGGGATGATGATGAGAGGAAAATAGAGAGAGAATTCAACCAAAGATTTTGGGTTTATGGATAATTATTCTTCTATATTAGTTTAACTGAATTTAGGGGTCATTTGGAAGTTGCGATTGTTTTGTTGAGATTGTCATTATGCATCATTTTTTTTTTGTTTTTTTAGCAAAAACAATACATGGATTGTTTCTGTGATGTGACAGAAACTATCACTCATTTTGAGTGATTGTTATATCTAAACTTTTAGTTGTGATTGTTGAGATAGTTGAGTTGAGATTGTTTTGTCTCAGCTTTTAGCTGATGCGACATACACAATCACACATACCAAACATTGTATTCTACAATGCATCAAATTCGACAATATATGTATAATATTATACATGCATTCTCAACGAACATCTATTTAACAATCACAACTTCCAAACGACCCCTTACACCACAATGTCATATAATATATAACCCTATAAATTATCTTCAACTTCCTATAATTACCCCTTATCACAAAATACCAAATCACATCCGTAAACTCTCTAAAAAATACTCAGATATCCTGATAATTCCGAAAATACTAGATAGTATAAATAATTCTTTAAATACAAAAATGTGATCGAAACGAGGTTTCCCATCATCTATTTGGGTTCTTAACTACTCTCAAACATAGTCATTCTAGTTAACTTTGTGCCTTATATTTGGTATGGGACAGCCTATGATACTAGATCGAGTAAATAAGTTATAATTGAAACTAGAAGATGTCTCACATCTGTGTTTAGCTTTGGTCAAATCAGCATCATTCCCATTATCTTGCCACAAAAGATTATCAAGTAATGGTGTCAACACAATCGTTATTGTTCATCGTGCATATTACACAGGGTTCAAGAAGGCGCGCCTAGGCACACGCCTAGACTCAATTAGGCGCTAGGCGGTGGAGGATCGCCTTGACTTGGCCATAGGCGTTGTAAAAGGCGCTGGTAGCGCTTAGTAGGTAGGAATAGCGCTTAGTTTGCGCCTAGTGGAGAGAAGGCGTGCCTGGGCGAGCTTAGGCGGTTAAACCCAATACTCTTCGTTTTGTCCTAGAAAATCAGAAACTTGCCACTTGCCCTAGAAAATCAGAAACACGTGAAGTAACATCTGGTGCCGCCTGCCGCCCTAGCTCTCGCCCATCTGCTACCGCCTGCCGCCCTGGCTCTCACCCCATTTGCTGCTCTCTGCCACCGTAAGAGAAAGTCATCGATCACTCTTCTCGCCTTCACACCGCTCCGCTGCTATAGTGGGAAATAAAGTCGAAACTCGTCAATTGCTGCTCCTTCCTTCTCCTTGG